ATCTCCCCAACCAAACCCACCAACTCTCCTCCCTCTCCATCTCCCCAGCTCAGATGGTTTGTTCTCTATAGTAGCTTGCTATCTACTTATTAATCATCCCTCCAATCTACCTTCTACGAGGCCTGAAGAGGACAGGGACAGGAAGAAAGTGAGAAGCCTCTACATCCGTGGTTCTCAACCTTCCTAATGCTGTGACCCTTCAATACAGTTCCTCATGCTGTGGTGACCCCAACCATGAGATTATTTTGTTGCTGCTTCATGACTGTAAATTTGCTACTGTTATGAACCATAATGTGAATACCTGATATGTGACCCCCCCCAAAGGAGTCCCAACCCAAAGTCTCCGACCAGGTTATTTCTATTAAAACCAATCCCCCTTTCAGTCAGGGGCTGAAAGGGTGTCTAGTGGAGCCCCTGCCTGGGATCCTACTGACTTCCGTCCACAACCCTACACAAACAGACAAGACAAACCCCATCCGTCGTGTTGGCACAGTAAAATTATGCTTCAAAGTACTGCTCTGCTCTGCTCCCCTCCAAACACCTGGCAGTAGCAGGCACTGCCAGCTTCAAAAACAAGGCAAAACAAAAACAACAAAAACAAAAAAACAACCCAACTAAACTCCCCAGAGAAATACAAAGGAGAAAGCCACATGTGCGGCTGGAGGGCTCTCTTGATCTAGTGGTGAGGACCTGAACCACTTACCTATCAGAGATGGCCCTTTGAGGTGAGGGTCTGTATTTCTGAAAAGAAAGTGAGAGGGGACGATGGCACTTACTGCTCTCTGGGAGAGATCTACTGAGAGCTATTTATACGAACCTAGACACAGGGCACAACACAGTCTTACCACATGGAACCAGGTTAAGTCACCTGTTGGCCCTATCCTGGGCCACAACACCCTACTTTTACTACAAGGCTCAGACTCCAAGCCTCTTTGAGAAGGCCTGTACTGGAGCCCAGCAGGGAACGGAGTAGATAAAACTGAACAACTAACACGAAGGCCAAATGAGCACGTGAAGCTGTGAGAAGGCCCTCCTTGTCCACAAGTCTGAAGCCGCTCTAACCCACGCTCCACCGTCAACAGGACTAGTCCTGCTCCAATGAAATGTGTCTAGAGGATCGTCTACAGAATCAATATTCTGTAGGATTTTTAATTTTTCTTTAAAAGATTTTCAAATAAACCACTGAGAAATTAACACAGGGCAGGAGAGATGGTTCAGAAGGTCAAAGTGTTTCTTGCCCAAGCTGACACCTAAGTTGGATGCCTGGAACCTACCTACCAAGTGAGACTTGGCGGCTCGCACCTGTAATCCCAGTACTCCTACAGGGAAGTGGGAGGAGGAGTCAAGAGAATCAGCAGAAGCTTGTGGTCCAGCTAGCACAGAGTGGCAGAGAGCCTGAAACAAGAGACCTGCCTCAAACAACGTGAGAGGAAGGAACTGAATCCCAAAACTTGTCCTGACTGCCACACACATGCATGTGCATACACGCACACTCTCACACACACTCACACACACTCACAC